TTGGTGATATAGCAACAACAACACCAACAGCGATACCATGTTGACTATGTGTCGATAATTTGATATTGCTGTGGAATTTTTGGATACATCTGCTTTTGAAATTGTGTTAGAGAGCGGTAGAGAGAAAATTCGGTTGAACATTTTTGAAGTAATTTAACTGGAAACATAATCAGTGATCTTCGTTTGTCAAATGATCTCTGATGTTCAAATACAAACACCAATGCATTACATTCTGGCATCTAAATGAATATGTCTTTTTGTATGATTTTTGTTGTTGTTGCTGTCGGTTGTGCGGATATAATTGTTGCGCGGATTGTTGAATATGCATTCGCATTCTCGATTTCTCAAACAAATCTCAACAACAAATACAGCTAGCGCAAAACAATTTGTAAACACATATTATTATAATTATTATTGTAACTATTGTGTGAATGCATAGTTGATTGCATTCAAACAAATAGAACAGAAGGTATGTATGTACACAGGGAATCATTGCCATTTCTTGCGCCATTTCACATGAAATACATGCTACAGCAAATGTAAATATGCGAATTTTGTGAATAGCAATAGCATTCCACAATTTTTAAACAAACGGACTTTATTCGAACACGAGTTTTCGGTGAAAAAAAAAAACGCTTACAATCAACACTTTAACATTTGAAATACCGCGAATAACTTCTATACTAAACACGCAACATACAAAAATATCAAATGAATCGTAGAGAGGAAAATCAAATTATTTGTTCGTTGAATTTGTTTCCGTTTTTCTGTTTTTTTTTTTTTTTTGTATTTGGACAAACACAAACAAGCAGCCAAACATGATCAAAAAATCATCAATGTGTGAGTGTGTCTTTTTTTTCTCTGATTTCAAAAAGTAATGCATAAAACAATAATAGTTTCTCAGTAGGTGAGCGTGAATTTCAAATGATTTCGCTGCTATTTCATTTCATTTACGGTGAAAAATGGCTTTGATGTCATTACTATTCGCAGTGTTTGTTTGCCGGCGCTGTTTTTGGTGGTAACGGTGATGGTAATATTGCTGCACCAAATGCAGCATGATGTATAGGCTGTGATTTGAGAAAGCGAATACTTGAATTGTTCATGATAACACTCTGGGAGCGCGCGTGTGAAAACTATGGCAAACACAGAACATTTTCAGTGAAATTTATTATGTTTTAAAATTCTGGCAAACTACAAATGTTTGCTAAATTTTATATATATGCGAAAAGCATTTCAGCACACACTTTATAGTAATGCACATACATACAAAAACGAGGAAAGGAGGAAAATTACGGCAAATGATAAACATTCGCTGTTATTGTTGTTTTCTTCATCTTCTTTGCACTATGACTAGGCAGCAACCAGAAACACACACAAACACACACAAAACTTATCACGTGGTTCGATTTTTAACTCAAGACCGGTTTGTGGATACACTTTAATTTCTCGTATAATACTATATATATAGATCTCCGTACAGCATTTAGACTCAATGCACATGTAGCCAAAACAAACACAAAAAACTGCATACACTTTACATTCTACAACATTATACTATTCCATGAGAGCAAACGAACGGCAAATGTAACGCAGTAAAACTAGTGTTTTGACATTTTTAGACGCATCGCATTGCTGTCTACTACATTGATGCTTTATTTTTCATTTCATTTTTACAGTGAACGAAAAATACCGTTACACCGTTTCACGATTTCCCATAGGTCTGTCGTTCACTGTCCAAACTCATACCTACATATGTATATACATACAAATTACACAGTGGAAAATATGCAATACCATTGGCAATACAATAAGGGATGCATCAGCCATTCAGCAATATACGTTAAGAGCATTTGTAGTGGATTGGATATCACAATACCATAGAAAAGCAAAACCAATACGATTCATACAGCTTAGCTTGGGACCAGGATTTCAACAACAAACCAACTGAAATGCCAAAAAAAGAAAAACACAAAAAACGGTGTGTATTGTATATATATGAAACAAGCTAAAGGGAAAAAAACACAGGCAACCGCGACAAAAAGATGTACTTTTTAAAATGGAGCGAGCGAGATGGATTTGGTGGGAAAGTGAGATAGATGAAACTGACGAACATAAAGAGAAAGAGCGAGAGAGAGAGAGAAAGCGAAGAGGAGAGAGATGGGAGACAATGGAGAATAGCCACTAGATTATCGTGCAGTGAAAAATGTGCATTTTTATTCTATTCACACTTGGACTTGTACTCGAACATTTAGCCGAATCTAATGAAACTACCGTACATATCCCATTATTATTACTGTTTTTGGTGTTGTTGTTTTTGTTATCATTTTTGTTGTTTAGTTTTCCTTTATTTTTCTTTCATTTAGCAAATCTTTTATGGTATGGTGCCTGGGTATAGTTTTTTTTAGCCACCCATATGGACATGCAATGAGCTTTCTTTCCCATTCGCCTCGATTGTTCCAACACCAAAACTTTTACGTGGTGTGAATTTTGCCTCTTTACGTTTTCATTTTACACATGTATTCGGACACACACACATGCCACTAGTGCATGCATAGAGACACACATATGCTCGCTTGAATTCACACGGTAATGTATGTGGCCCACTGACTGGAGAAACCAATCGCGAATATAGAGGTAAAATGAATGATAGAACTAGAGAGAGAAAGGGTGAGAGAGAGAGAGAAGACGAGGAAGGAGAAGAGGAACCAAAAAAAAGCTCAGATCCAAAAAACTGGAAGTAAAATTCACAGTACGAAATGAATATGTAATGGGTTTGGCATGTACTGAAGTCATGTTGATCGCATTCAGCTAACAAACAAAAATTTTCGAAATGTATTTTATGTCAAAGACCATTTCCATTCGCATTTATTTATCTATTATCTTTTTGTCGGTTTACATTTCTAATTATGGAGATAAACATACTCAATTCTCGGGTTCTCCAGTCAGCAGCTCACTTCGTTCTCGAAACCGGTTGCCAAGTCAAATGAAATCTGAATGCTATTCGGGATTGAACTGGAAGTTGAAAAAACATACACACACACGAACAAACCCAACCAGAGCAACAAAATAAAGCGACAACAACAGCCACCCCAAATAGAAAACATAACCAACCAAAAGGGTGCATAGTAAAATCTGTCGACATACTCTATTTATGGCTTTTAAGCAAATTGAAAATAAATTTTGATTCAGTCACAAGTTAAATCGTGGTTTGCGAAAACAAGAACTATGGCAAAATAATTGTCGGTTTAGTATCCTTTAAACTTGTGCAATTGATTTTACCCAGCTCTTAACATTTTGTCCAGCGAGGGAAAAAAATGAAAAGAAGAAAATTTCAAATGCAAAAGCGAAAAAAAGGAAGAAAAATTCAATGGAAAACGAGTAACCCGAAAAATTCATACAATAAACAAAGAGGTCAGGCAAATTAATGGGAAAAACTAGAATCTTTAGTAATCATACACCCACACATAGTGTACGCATCGTTGCTGAAATGATTTTTGAATCATTTCAAAGTTTTCAAAATAACTGACTAAAACTATAAATCAATGTTGATTCAACATTTTGCTGCTCAAAGTTTTGCGTTGAAAAAAAGTATGTGTCAGTACATACATACATACTGAGTGTGTGAGTGTGATCAGAAGTTGGCATCAATGCAATATGTACAACAGGAGCTAACTTCTTCGTCCAGTGTTTTTGGACCGATTTCGGTACCTGATGAATTTAAAACTCGTATACTTCATGCGCCAAATCTCCATTGTTATCATGTCGAACATTTCCACAAAACCAGATAGATTCAAATACGTCATTTGTTTTGATTTCATTCGGAAAATTCATTGCGGTGATGCATATGAATTGTTTTGGTATTTTATCCATTGTTGCTAAAAATGCGCACATTGAAGAATTGAAAATTCAAATGCAAAATGGTATTGCAATGCATTCCAATACGAGAATAAATAAGAGGCTCTTTTAATTACAAAACATAAACACAAAATCGTACATTCGAAGTTTTGAACAATTTTCCAAGTGATTTCAATTTCGATATTTTCGAAATGATCGATTGATATCAATAAATACACTTTATTTAGGGTATTCATTGAATGCCGTTTGTTTCTTTAAACTTGTGTTACACTTGGAAATAGTAAAATAACAAAATTATTTAGAATGAAGAAAAAAAATCGAATAAAAAGCCAGAAACTCAAAACTCTTCACAATGGCTGTTTGTAGTTTTGACATTATTCTATGGGGATGAAGCAGCGTGTTTCGGTACTGATTCTTCTTCTTCTTCAGTATTTGTACCTCACTCACAATATTGTTAAGTTTTGTACTAAAGGGAGACCCCATATTGGCAGCAGTAAAAAATGATGGACAAAATAAAAATGAAAGAATCGATTGGCTTTTTATAGTATGCATTTGAATTTTGAACGGATCAAATGGATCTATCCTACTTTGATGCATTTCGATTTTGTGACATTTATTGATTTGTCTTAAGCGCGGAAAACTGAATTTAGATTCAATGAATGTGTCTCCACACACAAAAAATTAAATCTGTAATAATTTACTACTACTTGTATTGGTAAAGATTGGTAATTTTCATTGTAGTATTTACAATTTTACCACCACTTGGCGTATTACCGATCCAATGTAGAATTCCAAAAAATGGGATCCTGCACCTCAATTGATGTTAGAAAAATTCCAAAATTATTCTAAGTGGATCTATATGGGAATGTATAATATATACATAATCTATCTGACGGTATTCTCTAGCATATTGGCATATAAAGCACCGTAAATGCAATGAACCATAGTGAAAATTCGTTTGATTCGAACGATAGTTTTTTGGTGGTTTCCAATTTCTTATCCTCGCCATTCGTCTTATTTCGTCAAACTATAAAAAAGTCAGATCATGCATGTTTTCATTCATAGAATGATAATTATTATGCTTCATTCGCGCCAGGCGAACGATGCTCATTTAAAGTTTTCAACGAAAGTCTTTTAAAACTTACCCAAAGTACACAATGAGAATTGAGAGAAAATGCAAGTTTTTCCCTCCTGCCACACTCCGTTCGTTTAGCAATGTACGTTTTTCTCTTTCGTTTTTTTGTTGTTGTTGCGAGTTTCGTAACGAAAACGTGTGTTTTCCCACTCGCTGCGTTTTCGTGTATACGTTGTCGATGCAGTACTGATTTGCAATTAAACGCTCTTTTTTGTGATCAATTTTTTTTCGTGTCTGTTCGCTCTTTTACGTGTGTGTTTGTATTTCAGTTTCGATGAATTGCCATGGGCGCGTTAAGATACAGATGTAAAACTTCTTCTACAAACTAAACAGACTCCAACGAATCCAATCGTAATGGTGATCGTTACTTCGATTCACTTTTTTCTTCTCTTAACTCACAAATTAAAGGCTTTTATTGTTTCGCGTTCCGTTCGTTATCTCGTTTTTTTTTTGTTCTTAGTAATTATTTAGTTTTGTTAAGTATATAGCTACTGTTTTTTTTAGTAAAGTTCTTGTCACAGTCGATGCTTTTTAATGAAGTTATAATCAGACGTTTTTTCAAAATATAGAGTATAGTTCATTGTCATCGATAATTATTAGAATGTTCAATGTACTTGAAATCGAAAAAAACGAAAAATTCGCGTTTTTTAATCGTTTTATCCTCGGGTTTATTAGTACGTTCTTATTCCGATAAGTTTGTCACTTAAGTTTTATTTTTCTTAGCTTAGCGTGTTTCTTTCTTTTTATCTAACTTCGTCGATATATTCGATGTGCTTGTTTTGGATCAATTAATTAATAGCATCGTTAAATTCACAGATGCGTCTCATTTGTTCAACGGATGAATCAGTTGGAAAATCACGCTTGTTTATTAAAATGTTTATTATTTTTATTCAAATAATTTAATCATAATGCACATAAAATCTTCACTGTCGATTACTGATTCAAGCTTCGAGTAATTTATGAAAATGATTGGCGATTTTAAACAGTTTCAATCACAAATAAAACGAGTGAATCAATGAAATAAGAACATTTCACGAGTGTATTGCACTAGCATTTCATTTCAGACTGAAATATCGTGTGATGTGGTATCGAAATCAGAATAACCGAGCATGAAAAAAAACGTGCCAAAATAAATACATTTAATGAAATTGGTGTTTACAAGTGTGATGTAATTGAAAATTAACGCCACTAATTAACAACTGTATCAATTGGATGTACTCGCAACAACTTTCATCCACTTGAAATAACGACTTAAGAACCATTGGGTTTATATGTTGCGTACCAGACCATAAACAGTCATTGAAAAACCGTTGAAAATCCGTTCGTTCGTTCGAGTTTCGGTTTGAGAAAAACGTCGGTTGTTTGTTGAGTATCTTTCGAAAGTCGCATTCGTACTAAAGACGTATTTCGATTGCAATCCAATTTTTATCTAGTAGATGCTGCCGTTGTTGTGACCGTCAACGGTGTTACTGTCTTCATTCGATACTTTCACACAGTTTGGATGCTATAACATTCCATTTAGTTGTAACATTGGCTTTGGCACATGCAGACGCACTTCTCCGTTTTTTCCATCTCCGAAATAAAAGCTTTCGGTTCTTAGCAGAGCCGCTGAGTCCGTTTCGAATGGCACTTCGCTTGAGAATTGTTAGTGTTGTTACTCTCTCTCTCTCTCCCTCTCTCTCTCTGTTGTTTGTAAGCTTGTGTGTACATGGACCGCGGAGGGCATGCCAACGCTGCTGCTTGCATCAAGTGGAGAATTAAAGCGTATAATAATTGCGTATGCTACAACCGAACCGTTCCATGTGCTTGTGTGCCTTTGGGATACTTGCCTTACATATCGTGTACATACCCTTTTTCATGCGAAAGATATCTTTTTATGCATCAAAACAGAGAGGAGACATTTTTTGTTTCTCTTTCAGACTCTCTTTACAATTCAGATATGCCGATTTTGAATATAATTTGGCGGCGAATAGTATTAGCCGCGTGCTGTGCGTCGGTTTTATTTCAAGTAATCTAAGCATGATTGCCGGTATGAATGTGCCGAGAATAATAAAAGTAAATTCAAAAACGCTTTGGATAATCCTCGTTGATCTTGCTTAAATCGCATTCGTATTATATTTGGGCGCGTATGGCAGCGACTTGCTTTGATTATATTTTCTTAACTGAGAATATTCTCTATTTTTTTTACTCTCTACTTTCAACAACAACCTTAAAGTAAATCCCAACAAAACCAAAACAAACGAAACCGAACACATCGAACTGGGTAGTGATGGCAGCATACGATGGCGGCAGCGATGGCGTTGACAGCTGCAAGCAGTAACAGATAAAGAGCCACAACAATATGGGTTAAATGTGCTCAAGAGAATTTCCGTCATTTCACCGTTTACGATCCTTGAATTTTTGATCATCTCTTAAACAATTCGCATTCGAAATCTAAACAGTCCAGTCATGAACTGTGCTAGTTAAACGATTCGACGAATAGAATTTATCAAAAAAAAACAAGCATAGCCCACATTAGCGTGCAGTATTTTTGGTGCTCGCTCTGTTTATGTCTGCCTCTGTTTTTTTCTCTTTCGATCTTATTTTCATAACATTACGATAAATATGCAGCCGAAAACAGAGAAAACATTTTAAAATTATCATTTTTACCACATTAAGTGGATATGCCAGCATTCGATGTTGTCCATTGCCTTTTCGAGGCGATTATTTAAATTTGCAAATAAATTCATGTTCATTACAATTTTATATTTGAATCAGACCTTCTTTGGCATACGTTCAAATTGATGTTTTAGTCACAATCGGCGCACAAGCAGAAAAAGCTCCAACCACGTATGTGTGCTTTCACCAACCGACCGGCATACATGACTATAACCATTCAATTCTATTTATATAGACGTATATATTCATGTGTCATTACAATTATCCGCGAAAAATTGCTCGATTCGTTGCAATTAAAAATTGTTTGTTTTTTTTTCGTTTTGGAATAACGTAAACTCATCAGCGCCCTTTCTTCTTGTTGCGATGAAATCGATCAATCGACGGCAGATCATAAGAAAACCCGTCTCTTTTTTCCCTCACTTGAATTGGAGTTTATAAACTACTCGGAACATTCACTCGATAGCTATCTAATTACATGCTACCACCTTCCATTCGTTAGATTAACGATTCGTTTGTTTTATTTTTACACTATTCATTTTTCTTTCATGCTTTTCATTCCAACGTTTCTCTGTCGTTCAATCGTTTCAGTCTCTTTTCACTTGTTATCAAAATTAATCACTTTGGACAGATGCTCACTTCCCATTATGCAGGTCATTAGTTTTTATTTTCCATTTTGATGCGAAGACCTCAATGAACTCACACGCTCCGCTTTACTCGCGCCCTTTTCTTGCGCATTTCGCTTACTTTAATCTCTTCTTCTTTATCTTTAATTACAACTTTTTCAATTCGATGTGCTTTTTTCTCTATTCCTCTGATTCTTCTTTAAAAGAAATATATAAATTTCAGGTGCAAAAATGAAATGAAAGTAAAATGCTTCCGACAATAATATGAACTGAATATTATTTGGTTTTGGATATTCTCTTCGAGTATAACTCAAATGTCGGATGAAGCGAAAATAAAGAAATTATGTGATAATTAACGTTAATTTAAAAAGAATTGTTTGTACACAAATCGAAAGTGGGCAAAATAACTGATTCTACGCGTGGTTCTTCAAAATTATGATATTCAGTAAAAAACCGCGCGCTCAACCACGAAATATTCAAATCCATATACAGCAACAATAACATTGTTTCTTGAATGTATGTGTGACAGTGGACTTGGTCGCTTGGTTCTTTTGATAACTTGACTCTTTCTTCTCGATAAAAGCATTAAAATCGCAATTTTAATGGAATTTCTAAAAGTGGAAAGCCGCTTATAATGTATATAGTTGATGTGTCTAGTGACAGACGAGAGTGAATAAAACACAAAACCGATATTATAAAATACTTGAATCATAATTTTATAGCTAATTGTGGAATTAAATCGATTGCAGTCTATGCAATTTTCCGAATGATATGTGCATTTTGTGCACATATTTAAATTAGATTTATGTATATCGCCTTTTCAACGAATTTCATTTCGACTGTTTTACTTTTAACTAAAGCGGTTAAATTGAATTTTATTGCAATTCAATTTCAATTAGATCGATGTCATTTCAATAACCATTTTCGTGCAAGTGGTGTGTATTTATGTGTACTGTGGATGCAAAAGTAAGTTATATGTGCATCAAGCACATGGTATCGTTTATTGCATCTATCTCATTTTCAAGCAACCAATTTTGGGAAAAGCATATTCCGAATGGAGAACAAACTGGATTTGAGATGCGTATCCATTTCGGCTATAAACTTTACAACATAAAACAATATCAACGACAACGACTACGACGACGAACGATGGCACATTGAATGAAACCCACGCGATTTGAATTTGAATTCAAATCAATTCAACGTAAAACCGAACATTCAAGGCAAATGCAATTCGAAACAATGACGACAACTATGAACAACAACATTTATTGGATATTTTGAATGCGTGATCCGAACGCTTTGAACTCGATGTTTGGTCGAAAGTTACATGTAAATCAATGAATTATTTATAATTTATTTAAGAAGTTGACATAAATGCTCGATGTGTTTGGGGCACAAAATCTATACGATTCTTTGTTTCATCTCTTGTGACATCGCTTAAACATACACATATCGTACGGATGTGAATTGGCGAAAGAGACGAAATAATGCCAACAATGAAACGGACAACCAATTCGGGAATATTGCAATTGCATGCTGACTGAATCGACATACTGCAAACCGAATGCGAATTATGTAGGAACTATAATAAAAATCGGATTGTAAAACATGTGAAATATTATATTTGGAGTTGAGCTGTATCAGCATTTAGACAATTTGACGATTCCACAATACAAAGGAGTCGACAACAAATATAACGAAGGACAACCACATTGTACCTCTATATCTTATTTTGAACAATTGAAAACCATTTTCTGATTGTTTTGGCTTCCACATGGTTGTTTTTTTCTTTTTCTTTTTCCTCCTCTTCATGGGAAAATGAAAAAAATTGCTAACCAAAACTCAGAAATGCGAAAGTAGAAAAATGGCTAGCCAAAAAAAGACGTCACAAACACTGTGCATTGCACACACTTTGTGCACGGCGAAAAAGAAAACGAAACGAGAATTGCACCAAAGCCAAATGCTCATATGTTAGTGTGCAACCCAATCGAATTGATATATAATTTTGCACAATAGTTCAATAAGAGGCACTGCACTGTACACCATACGAAAAACAGACCGACAAACAAAAATGTGTAACCGAAGCAATCGGAAAAAATTAATCTAACGCATGATGAAGAGGAAAAAGCATAAATTATGTGCCATGCATTTACAACATCGCTATACTTCACAAACAATGCAATGCCGTGAATATTGTAGAAATCAGATAAATAAAACTTGAACTGAAGAAAATCGTATAGTTCGTGGGTGAGATTTCGTTTTTTTTTCGTTCAATTCAAAATTTACTTCCTCGTCTGTACGCCAGCATTCTCTCTCTCTCTCTCTCTCTCTCTCTCTCTCTCTCTCTCTCTCTCTTTGTTATCTCTGTTTTGGTGCGTTTTTAGTGCATCATTTTAATCAATTTTTGCGGCTTACACTTAATCGAATCTGTTCGATGAATATTCAATAAAAATGATTGCTCCTTTCTGTGTGTGCATTTTGTTGATATTCAAATAAAATGGTTTGTGTGCTCCCATATGTTATCTCAACCAACATTTTCTTCATCTCCGATGTTTTGTGTCCTTCGTCTGTAAAATCGTTTCGAATATCTGTTTAGTGTTTGTGACTGTAAAAGCTTTAAGTTATAAACACATTGAAAGCCATCGAATAGGGTGAGACAAAAAGAATGTTGATCGTGTCTCGTTTTGCTTGTATCTCATTCGTATTTGCGACCTTTATTTAAAGATCTATTTTATTGGTTTTCTATTTCTCTTTTCGTTCATTTTTCGTATGGTTATTTTTTTTCTTCGTCAGGCAACCGGAAATAACAGTGATAGCTTAATGTCTCCTAATGTGATTTCGACTTCCCGAAAAGAAATGCCATGAATCTTTTGCCAAAAACTTTTGTTTATTAGAAGTATTCAGTTGCTGATTTTCGGCTCATTCAATTGCTGACTGATATTGGCTTGTTGTGTTTGTATTTACCTTTTACCAACATTTCTCCAGCGCAACACAATTGTGCGGACAATTTTGCATTTTATTGATGGTTGCATTTCTCCACCGATTTTCAATGCGATCAATGCAAAATATCGACATAAATACATAATATATGTTCGTTAAATTCGATTTTACA